ACAATAAGCCCCATCAAAACCTGCTCCCATTGCTCAATTACATGCTGCCTGCCTGCCAGACCACTTTGGTTAGGCGTTTCGTTTCGTTTGCCTTGACTTTGGTTAAAAGTTGCCTTGTGGCATGCTTGAATGCATTCCGAGTGAAATTCAAATACGAGTGCAACGTGTTCAAATGAATGCGTCGAGAAGTGCAACTTGGAGGCCAAAGTGAATGAGTGAACAATTGAAGCATGAACAACTACACTCCACGACCTGCCAGGTGGCGGCTGAAAGGCTTTCAAAAGTGTCCTTGGTCTATGCAATTTGAATGTTGTCCTTGCCAAAGGGGGCTGCTCGGCAATTTATGTTGCATCTAAACGAATTTATTCTAAGCGAGCTCATCCATTGATCACAAAACTAAACGGATTTATCTGTTCAGCTTCCGAGTCGTATCCTCCTAGGCAATTAGCTAAATTTGCTAACTACAGTCTCTGCTAAAAGTAAGGCCTCAGACCGTCTGGACTAACTAGTTGGCTACTTGACGTGGTTGCGGTCAGTTGACAGTCAGTTGAGGCTACAACATTTTTTAATTAACTACTCAACTTTTACACTTCTATACCCTGTAATCAGTTAAGGATATCGGATGGGTTATACGGCTAGCTGGTCAGCAAGTTTTATAGTCTTGAACTGGGATCAATATTTTGGTCACGAAGTTGAAGAAGATCTATACGTCAAGTTGAGTAGTTATCCTACTAATATCTTGGTATAGATACAATTCCTTGCTGCAGCCTCCGGAATTTGAGGATCTATATAACAAATGTCTATCATAAAAACTAGGGTACCAAATATCTTAAGATAATCAAAGAAAACCATCGGGAAAAATTAATTTACCATTTGTTTTTATCTTACAGATATCTTGTCGAAACTTTTGTTGGCCACAACCTTTCAGTGTTAGACTATATTCATTCCCCAGACACAATCAGTCGAACATATAGATGTGTTTCATAAAGCTGGATGCTAGATGTCAGATGTCTAACGTAAGACTAATACAACATATAATTATATATTGTATATCTAGTAATTATCTACAGGGATAAAGGATGATATGTTTCTACTATGTGTATAAGATCTTTGATTAGGGTATCTTTCCATCGACTACTCTTGACTAGATAATTCTTGTTTGCACTTACTCAGCAACAAAATATCTCAGATATTTGCTCCTGGAAGCCACCCAAAGTTCGAGATGCAATTAATGCAGCTAATTTGTGAGGCAATTTTAGCTTGTACCGGTTGATATTTTCGACTGAAAATTGTTGAAAATTCTTCGTCGTCCTTGTCCAAGCATATGTCCTACAAAAAAACACACGCACACACACACATGAGATACACAACAAGACAAGTTCAAACAGTTTCACACCATTCATTAGCATGCAAATTGGGATGCTTTTTAGCTGCAGGACGAGGTCGCGTTTGTACCAGTTCCGGCATCATTTATAAGTTGTCTACTCCTTTGGAGCATAAGCCCGCATGACAAACTTTGTAGCACATGCCACAGAGCCCAGATGCAGACACAGCTGCCATCGCAACTCTGCTCAATTTTTAGCTAAACATTATGGGCTTGGTTTGCTGTTGTTGTTTTTATTTGCTGCTGTTGCCAACATGTGCCATAATAACCATTTATCGCCTTGACCCGAAAATATTCTCAACTGGCGAGCGGGCTGCACTGCAACGACAGTTGGCTTATAACTTGCGATAGTTGAGATATCTTTGGGAAGTCACAAAATTGAATTTAATATTATTTTAAGAATATGCTTAAAATGAACAAGTAAGAATGCTCTAGTTGGACGTGCCCGAGGTGCGGAGGTAGCTAGAAAATGAAAGATACTTGATCTTTTCTAGATACTTTTCTAGAAGCTAAGTCAAAATTTCCCACCCCCATAACTCGGTCAAAACTGTTCCGATTTTCTCGAAGTTTGACTTCTTGTTCATGGTTTGGCCTCTTAATCAATTTGGCATCTAAGCCTGGCAAAATTATTCTCGGTCGAAATTCATGTGAAATTGGTACCCTCAAATATCCTATATAGACATATGGAGGTCAAAATTTGCCACCCCCATAACTCGGTCAAAACTCTACCGATTTAGACATTTAGTGAAAATTTCCCACACACAAAGACAACAAATCTTCTTTCGTACGTACCTTTCCGCAGGGTTTGAACTAGCGATGTCGCGCTCACTGGTCCGACGCTCAATCCTTAAGCCACGCAGTTCGTTGGCAACACTTTTTGCTTATGTGTTGCTGTTTACGTTTTAAATGCAAACTTTGACCACAATTTTTCACAGTTTTCACTTGGAGCTTTAATGTTCAAAAGCCTCATCCTTGTGGATTATATGTACGTATGATAAATCCGTCCTTTTACTGCAGGTAGTATATATGTATGTTGACTTTGGCCAGATCGGAACCTCTACTCTGAAATAAAATTTAATTTTAAGAATAAGTAAGGCTTTATCATACATTGCCAAATATTTAAGCTGAGGCATTTCATTATAAATAAGGGTAAAGTTCATTTTGGGTTTTGGCTTATCGAATCTTTTGATGCTCCTCCATCATTCCTCCCCCTGTCTTTCTTTCACTGCTTAAAATAAATATGGTTAAGTGTTTTCAGACTATCTCCATTGCCTGCTGATAAACTTAAATATTAAATTTATCAAGCCAAGTGTTTAAGTTCCCGAATCTCTTCAATAAAAAGCTTCAACTGCCGCATCAAACAGCGCTTAAATCGCGCTGTCGATATTATTACTATTGACAAACAGATGTGTATGAATATATATATATATATTTATTGATTGCAGCAATTTGATGCTGCTGCCATTTGGCGCGTCAACAAGTCAACTCCGGCTGTCAATTGTTGCCAATTACTTATACGCCGCTTGTTACAGTCAAGTTTCCTTTGCACGAGTGTGCGAAATATTATGCATGCACTCGCAATACCTGCGGGAATAGTTGCGATACATTTGTTTTATCACCAATAAAAAAGAGCAATACATAAAGGCAGCCGAAATTTATCGATTTATATGCCTACTGATAAATGGCGCTGGGATTGTTTTCGGCTTAACAAGCGAGAAGCATTTGTTGACTATTACTTTAAGATACTTCTGTGTGTGCTTTGGAGAGGGAGTTCTTGTTGGATAATAACAAACATATATAAAATAATTTAAGGAATATTTACTGCTGATATTTACTGCAGCTGCCCTCAAACTAGTTTCCATTTAGCTGACTTGAGGCATTTTTTTTTTGCTGTTGAATATTTCAAAGCGCATAAGCAAGTCAAATTGTCATTTTCAAATCCAAATGGTTTTTCGGTTTGGGTTTCTATGTAAACTTGCTTTCGTGTAGTTTGTATTTCGCATAAGTTTTACCCTGGCAAGAACACAAATCTGTCCACAGCCTCTAAACTTTAGCCAGGCTAGAATTGAACGTCAGCATTGCAATTGCATAAAAAAGTAACAAAAACTTGAGCAAAAAACTTCTGTTCAGATTTTCCATTAGTAGTATCTTTTGCTCTTATTGACGTTATCTGAGTGAATAAATTCTTGACATTCTGTCTTCCTTTTTTTTTTTTGCCTAGACGTGGATGTTGTCAATGTTTTCAAAGTTTTAAGTCTAAGCCTTGTGGGTTTGTTTAAGAAAAAGCTGGGCATAAGTACACAGTTGCAGTTTCAAGTTTCTAAGTACGAGTTGCCATAAGTATATTTAGATATATCTTTGAAAAGAGTTAACCAACTGCAAAAGCAAAGAATAACTAAAATAAAAACAAAAAAGCTGCCTATAAATATGAATAAGTTACTAAGCTACTGTAGATGCTATTTTTGTTGTTTCTGGTCTCTCAAAGAGAAGTCTGAAGTCTTAATTAGTTCACAATATTTGTCGAATGCTGTTAGAAACTAGTTTGGAAAGCTTGAATCTTTATTATTTATATATTTACTTATACACAGTCAAAGGCTGCTCGAGCTTTATCTAAAATGTATGTTTAACCATTTTACATTTGTTCTTTTCACATGTGATTTAATGCCACGAAAAAGTCTTGATGGACATGAAATGTTGTGAGTTAATGAATTAAACTAAAAATATAAATATAAAAATATCAATTTTTTTTTTATGTTTATGCAAACAAGCTTATTTGAAATTACAATTTTGATTTTATTTGTTTTGATTTTAAATATCAATTTATAGCTTATAGGCTCAGAGAAGTGTAAGGCATAAACTCTTTCCATCCTTATAATTGCTATAGACTTAATTTTAAAAATAAATATATTAAATAATAATTATAATAATAATATAAAAATTATATTATATATATATAGACTGGCTTGATGAGACTATTATTTAATAAGTTATGTTTATATTAATAAAAATAATAATTATAGCTTTTAAGCTCAGATATTAACTTGCTCTAAACTCAGTTCATCCTAAGTCGTAGACTATAAAATAATAATTAATAATAATTATAATATATATAGACTATAATATAATAATTAGTAACTAATAATAATAACAGTAATATTGATAATTAAAATAATAATAAGCCTTTAGGCTCATATATGGGCAAGGCTTTTCATCCTTATAATGGCTGTGGACTATAAAGTAATAACTAATAATATTAATATATATAATATAATATAGGCTCAGATATACGTAATTCTTTGGAAATTAGTACTAATAATAATAATAAGAATATTATAATATTAATAATAATATTAATAATTATTATTATAAATTAGCAATAATAATAATTAATCAACTTTAAGCCATAATATAATAAATAAAAACAATCTCAATGAATAACAATATGTATAAATACACGTGCACTTGCAGCTTACTGATAAAGTACACCAGTCACCAGGGTTAGACTGAGTTTTAAAAATAAAATTAAATTTGATTCAACTGTGAGTGTAGCTCGCAAGTTCCGAGTCCCCAACCCGAGATGAAAGACTAGTTGGAAATCGATCGCTGGGTGCTCAAGATGTACGCTTATCGCCTGCTATGGCTGCTTCTGGGAATCGTTTCGGGCGGCGCGCAGCTGCTGCAATGTCCGCCCACAAGATTTGAGAATGCCTACGAGGCAAGCACGGGGCTAATCACCATTGCCAATTATTTGCCAGCGACGCCCGTCAATGAATTTGCCCTGCCCAGACGTCTGTGCGTGGAGCGCAGCGGTCTTCCGGTCGTGCGACGTTGCCTCGCGAATCAACAGTGGGAGAAGCTGGAGAATATCACCTGCGAGCTGGAGCAGGCAGCCAATGAGCAGAGCCAAAGGCTGAACGAGTTGCAGTTCGAGCTTGTCGAAGGTGTCTCCTATCGTGGCTCTGGGCTGCACTTTTCGCTGAACATAATGGAGAACATGGGCAACATAATCGGCCAGAACAATCACCAAATCCAGCCGGTTGATATGCTGAATGTTGACAAAATAATTGACGAAGTGGCCAAGGAGCCAAAGGACGTGGCGGTCTGCACCGAAATGGTCGGGCTGTACAACAATCTAATGGCCACCGATAGCTCCGTGCTGGAGCTCTCGGCACGCCTGAATGCCACCAACAATCTACTCTACAATTTCGAGGACTACACAAATGCGTTGGCGCAGCAAATGGTCGCGGGGACGAACTGCAATCAACTCCTGGCAAATCCGATGCCCAAGCACCTGGTGAACGTGAAAGTGCATAATGGTGTTCAGGTGCTCATCGGCGGTAATCTGAGCGTCTTCTACTTGCTGCCCGAATGCAATCAGTTCACAGGCATTGCCATCTACTCGGAGGCAGCAGCTGGGCGCGAGGGCTGCCAGGATCATCGATTCTGGTATCGTTTTCTGTACGCCAATCAAAGTCTGGACGCGCTCAGGGCGGAGCCGGGTCTCCAGGCAGCCACATACCTCACGCATCAGCTATGGCAAGCCATGCGAAGCACAGGAGTCACCTACCTGGTCTTCAAGATCTATGCCAACAGTGCACTCTTTGTCGACGCCTCCACGGAAAGCGCGAAGGCCACTCCAGTCAGCCACGTGCTCTCCATAAACATACCCCAATCTTCGAGTGAGTATAAATGGTATCTAAGATTATGAGAGGGGAGGAGAGGAGACCTAGACATGTGCCCAACAGTCTTGTTTTCAAGGCAAGAATTCACTTTTCGATCGATTGTTCCTATCCGTACGGTTCTGTATGCAATAGAAATATGAACCTATTCTAAATTCTTTGTGAATAGCTTTCGAAAATAGAAACTAGCAGATGAATTAGGCTATATTGAATCGAATGAGGCTTATGAGGTGTACATTTCATGTTATATAAATATAAATAATATGTAATACTCATATCGCAGGCGAAAAGTTGAGTAATGCCCATTCGATCAACCGCATTGAGGCAAAGCATCAAGTAATAATTCAATAATTTAATAGTCATGGGGATGCCCACAACATTGTTTTATTAACACCAAATTCAGCTCACGCTAACCGCTCCTTTGCTTTAGTATTTAAAATAAAAAAAAAAATTGAGTTCTCATGGCCGGTGTCGAACTCACAACCTTCTTCAAACAACTGATCTAATGGCCATCGTCTAATACATCACAGCTATTCAACAACCACTAAAAAATCAACTGAAGTGAGATAAAAGGCACTTGATCTGTATATACAAATCTAGAAGCTTTATATGCTATTTTTGATTCAATACAATAAACAAAAAAAAAAAAAAAAAAGAAGCTTTATGTCAAATTTGGTGACCAGCTCTTAAATCCTAAGAGGTTTGTTAAAAGAACATGATTTCGACATCGTTTTTTATCGGCGGACATGACTCGACTATTGATGCTGACCAAGAATATATATACTTTACAGGGTCGTAGATGCTTCCCTCAGGCTGTTACAAATATTTGCACAAAATCATCATAACCTTTTTACCCATTTCCACAGGGTATAAAAAGAGCAGCACTTAATCGACTTTAATTTCAGAAAACTTGGCCCATCCGCTGGTTTTTCTACTACGCAACGAGAAGTACGAGAATGCGAATAGGAGCACGAATCAAATAGATGACTATTGCGGTTACTGGAACTACGATACATGGAAAACGAACGGCATTACGACCAATACGACTAGCTTGCCCTACGATCCGATCGTTGTGTGCTATACGGACCACTTGACACAGTTCGCCTTTCTGGTGGGTGCCAGCTGCAATCAGCAAAATTGTCCCTACGACGAGGATCCGGAGGAGGCCAAACGCAGCGAGTCCCTGCTGGACGTTACCACAGCGTTCGGCTGTGGTCTCTCGCTGTTCGGCTTGCTGGGCATTTGGCTGACGGCAGCCATCTCCCGCAAGTGGCGCTCCATGAGGTCCACGAAGCTGCTGCTAAACATGTGCCTGGCCCTGTCGCTGCTCTTTGGCCTCATGCTGCTGCTGTATGTGAACGAATGGTTCTGGCGCTACTCCTTCGACCAGAGCCGTAGCGCCTGCATTGCTCTGGGCGCACTCTTCCAGTACTCGGTGCTGTTGCTCTTCAGCTGGATGCTGCTCATTGGCTACCTGCAGTACCAGCGGCATGTCACAGTCCTTGTGGCCAGACCGGAGCATATTGTGCTGCGTGTGGCAGTCATTGCCTGGTTGCTGCCGCTGTTGCCCACCTTGCTGCTGGTGTTCATCAGCCCCGCAGCGTACAGTCCAGTCAAGTCGGGGGATATAGCATCTGTGTGTTATCCGTCCGGCTCCGGCTTGGTCTATGGCGTACTGCTGCCCATTGGACTGGTGCTTATTGCCAATGTCTTCACGTTTGTGTGCATCTTCTATAGGGTGACACGTCTCGAGGATCGCAATGGGCAGCTAATTTGGATGCAGCTGCGCCTCTTTGTGCTGCTGTTCTTTCTGCTTGGCCTGACTTGGATCTTTGGCATTTGCGCCTACTTTCGTTTGGGCCTGGTCGTAACATTTATATTCTGCATTTTGGCCACATTGCAGGGATTTGTGCTCTTTTTATACTTTGTTCTATTTGACAAGGTAGCCAGATCTGCTTGGCTTCAGTTTTTGCTTAGAAAACAAGAAACTGCTAGCATTCAACTAACCGGATGATCTCCTACAACGATTGCCTAATATTTCCTAGTTTTGTACTAAATAAGAAGCTGGCAAGTTTCTATCTTTAAAATATGTTAATTAGTATTTATTTATATATATGTAAATGTAAAAATATAGAGAGAGTGTAAGAGAAAAAAATCGTGGAATTAAGTAAGAAAACTACAGACAGAAACAGAGAAATTTATTAGAGTGACACACAACTTCTTGAAAGATTACTTTTAATCAAAGCATGAAAATGTTAGACTTACTTGAACTAATGAGAATCGCATAGAAGGGCAATATTGAAAAATTAAGAATTCTCGAATTTGCAGCGCGGCGTGAGGAAGCTCGATATACGTTTAATGTATATATAAACGCATACACACACACACTCATATATACATACCCACATACCTCACATACCTCACATACAGCTCATACGTCATTCAATCAGTCTGCCTGTCAGTCGATTCCTACAATAATAGCTGATATCCTTGCTAGCTAATAAAAACATGTGTATATGTTTTTATCAAACATTAAAGCATAAACAAACATATTTTCTAGATTTTTGCTCAAGTAATTGAAAAGCATATTGAACTTTTTTCATAGTAACTTGAAAACTTTTACCACGCCCTTGTCCCCGCACTTGGTAAGCCACAACTTTATAAGTAAGCACATACAAAAGTACTTCTTCAATGTTTTGCTCTTGATTTTATATTTCCAACATGCACGAAGGCACAAATAGAACTTTTTCTGTAAACAACATTTGAATATCATTAATATCTATGTAGCGGAAAAGTAAAGAACTTTATTTAATTTGTTTGCTGTCGAGAAGTCGACCGATTAATAAATGAAAATAATACGGTATAGCAAGCCTACAGACATATTTTTTTTAATTTGCCATGATTTTACAATTATTGGATGAAGTCAACAGTTGCCCGATTTAATTGGTCGATTTAGGTTATCGTGCATTTAATATATAAAAATTCTGGATATAATAGTGGATCGTGTATTGGGTATTTTTCATCCACCTAAAGGACATACATTACTCTAAAGCTAAAGGGATCGTGTCTTGGCTGAACGTAAATATTAGGGTTCTGGCACAAATAAAAGCTTTTTGTTTGTTTGGCAGCTTCATAGTCGCAAACTGAACGAATAACGACGCTTGACGCGTCTTCAAACGCAACTTTTTCGCTATTTGTGGATTAAATCTTGGCTATGGTATTATAATAAAATTCGATTTCTGCATAATAATCGGTGACGTCACATTTTATCATCAAAATGGCGCTGTTTTTGCATCTACAACTTACCATACAACAAAATTTCACGCAGGAAGATCGTGGTTACGCACACTGAATACCAACTTGATAAATTATGACGTCATTTAGGATTTTATTTCTAATCTTGCTTAGCATATATTCCTACTATATTATGAACACTTTAATAATATATTTATACGGTTTTTGTTTTAAATAATATTTCTTAATTTAGCAATTTACTACACGCAACGATCGCACACTAAAAACTACTGGCATTCAAATTTTCTACCTGCGTGCGCCGGGACTCGGCTCTGCAACAACAACATTAGGACCCAAACAGCAACAAACACAGTGGCATGATCTGTCCCTTTTCTTTGCACTGATTTTCCTACATACATATGTCTCAAAATCTTGCTTCAGATTTTCAGCGATTAAAACGGACGACGAAAAACAAATGGGCACTGTTGTTGTTTTGCAGCTGATTTGTTGTTGCTTGATTTTGTTTGATTTTGCGTTTGCGCACCAACCTTATGGAGCATTGAGTATTTCTCAATGCTTGATTCTGAATTAAAACGGTAATAAAAGCAATATCTGCTAAAAATTATAACTGTAATAAAAGCACGGAGTGACTTTTCGTCTCCTACTATTTATTAGTCAATGCTTTTAAGCTAAAAGCTTTTTTAGTACGATTGCTTAGCGTCACAAACTGAGCGACCAAGTGTAACGCATGTTTTCCGACACATGTCGCGATATTTGGTTCAAAACTTGACTATTTTATTTTAATTGAAGATATATTTTCTCCAACAGGTGGCGCGCAACATAGCGAGTTTCTATACCCGTTCATAAAGTGAAGAGTATCTTAATATAATACTCTAGAATGAAAGGGAGTGTTACCGCTGTCATGCACATAATTCCATGGATCTGTAATCCATTAATTATTAATTAGTATTTATTTTATTATAGATCTAACAAAACTATGAGTACACACATAAATGGATATGCAGAAATTCGTTTAGTTTACAAAATAAAAAGCAATTCATCGAATCTTGATGAAAATTCTTCGCTCGGCTGACTGGTTATCATTTGGTATGCGTTACAGCTGGCGGAGATGCCCTTCCTCCCGGCTTAGTGCAGACAGTAGGCCACAAGGAGTGTCATCAGGGCAGACAACGAGCTCAATTGGGACATGGTCTTTGACCCATTGTGGGCATCACGCAGTCCCGACTCCGCGGACAGACGCGCCGACGTCAAGCCCGGCATGCGCATGATGTCCGGCTGGCCGCCGGGATGCAAAGGGGCCAGAGGCACAGATCCTTCGGGCACCGACAGGGTCGTTGTCTGGATGGGTGCCAGGGGCGCCGAGTCCGGTGAGGGAGTCACATTCGAATTGGCAGCCACCTCTGTTGATGGCGCCGTCGCCGGCACCATCGCGGGCGCTGTGCCATTTGCGGGTGGTGCCGCTTCCGGCGGCGGTGCCGGATAGCAGGCAATCTTCTCCACTTCAATTGTCTTGGTGGGGTCCTTAGGATCTGGCTCTGGCACGCGCACTGGCACACAGATGATGCCGCCGGGCGCGGGTGGTGCATTGGGATCAGCTGGTGCTGGCGCAGCTGCAGCTGGTGCTGGTGCAGCTGCAGCTGGCGGTGCGGCATTTGCCAGACCTGCGCCAGCTGCCGTTGCGGCGATCGCGCCATCCGCAGCCGACGGTGTCAGCGGTGCAAGCGGTGTTTGTGCTGCTCCTGGAGCAGGTGCCGGAGCGGGTGCCGGAGCTGGTTGGTATGCCGGTGCTGGAGCTGGTTGGTATGCCGGTGCAGCGGGAGCTGCAGGCTGTGCGCCGCCAGCGTTGATCACCGTGGTGCCGGAGCCCGCATCGGTGGTAGTTACCGAACCAGGAGGTCCATTGTTGATGATAATAATCTTGTCCTCACCACCTCCGTTACCTCCGCCGCCGCCGCCACCTCCGTAGCCGCCGGACATCGGTGCATGCTCCACGACGCGCGTCTGCGTGGGCGTGAGCACGTGACCCAAAATAGCGCCACCCAAAGCGCCAGCAACGAGACCAGTGCCTGGAAGAGAGCAGAGAGAGAGACAGTTGATGAGCAACTTTAAGCAAATGTGGGCCGCTGTGCGCTACTTACCCAATCCCAGACCGGATGACGACTTGGGCGCTTGCGGATAGTAGGTGGCACCCGGCGGCAGTCCAGCGCCAGCTGGCAAATAGGTGGCACCAGCCGGCACCGCGGCAACCGGCGCTTGGGGATAGTAGGTAGCTCCATGTGGCACGCCTCCGCTTGGATAATAGCTAGCGCCAGGGGGTACCTGACCAGCCGGATGATAGCTAGCGCCAGCTGGTGCATATCCGCCTGGATGATAAGTGGCGCCGGCGGGCAAGGCACCCGGGCTGTGGTAGGTGGCACCGGCGGGTGGTGCACTGTGATAGGTGGCACCGGCGGGCAGGGCACCCGGGCTGTGGTAGGTGGCACCGGCGGGCAATTGACCAGCCGGATGGTAGGTGGCTCCAGCAGGCAAATTGCCCGGACTGTGATAGGTGGCGCCCGGATAGCTGGACTGCACGCCATGCGTATTGGTCGCCCCAATGGGCGTATGATGGTAGCCACCGCCGCCTCCCGTGCTGTTCATGCGTGGCCTATAAACGCTGGCGGGCGTATAATGTGGATTGCTGGACGCGCTGCCCACGCTGCCCGCTGCCGGTCGGGAGTTGCTGTTGGCCGCCGAGTAGCTTGGCGGCGGTGCATTCGCCTTGTAAGATGGATTGTAGGCCGGCGGCGGCTCGTGCACGTTGGTGCGAGCACCACCCACGGGATTAGTGGCCGAGTAGGCGGGCGGCGGACCCTGCGCCTTGGGCACGTTCCAGCCGATGGGCGAGGCGTTGCCGTTAGCTGGCCGCGAGACACTGTGGCTAGACGGCTGCGCGTGGGTGCCACCACCGTAACTGAGACGCGTATTATCCACATGGCCGTGTGATGACGAGGATGACGATGAGGGGCGACGCGCCGAGTGGCTCGAGCTCGAGCTGGAGGAACGGCTCTTGCTGCCGCCGCCGCCATACCAGCGCTTGGCTTGCGCATCCGGGCTGGCCAGCAGCAGGATCAGTAGACCCACCACAAAGGCCAGGCTGCTTAGTCGCCAGGGCGGATTGTGCGACATGCTGCAATGGAGTATCACACGTAAGTCAATTTTCTGGTATTCCAATTAGTTTTTCACAAATTTCTATTCAGTTCCTTGGCCTGCTCGACTTTGACTGAGCTGCTCCCGCCAGGCTGGAGCGCTTAAATAGATTTAATGCTTATCAATAGATTGTTATGGACTGACGACCAGAAAAAAAATCCCAGCACGTCCAAAGCGCGATCTATAACAAAAACACAAACACAGAGATTGCAGAGATCGCGATAAGAGGCATCTAGGGATGGGAGATTGTATGGGTAGCAGTCAGTTCCCAGTTACCTTTGTGGTATATATGAGGTATATATTCGTGAGTAATGTTATTGTATTTTAATAATTTTTTTATATTTCTTTTTTACGAAAACCTTTTTAAATATATTTCAAAAAAAACGCAAACACCCTTTAAAATTTGTTGAAAAAAATTATTTAACTAAAAGACTACTAATTAAATTTGTAATATGCTGGCAATTCTAGTTTTTTAAATTTTAAAATATATGTATATACTTAATTCTACTCATATACTCTATAAAGGTTGTACGCGCTGAAACCTGCAGAGAATCTATCTAAATCTACATT